GCCTTTTCGCATACCCTCGCACATCGCCTTGCGCAACCTTCGTTGGCCTTCTTCCTTGCCCTCATTGTGCCCTGCATACGGGCTCGTAGTCGTCTCTTAGGCCATGCATGCGTGGTTTTGGCCCTACTCTCGGCCTTCTCGAGCCTTCTCGGATCTTGGACCTTCTCGTCGTCGGGGCTCGAAACCCACTTCCGCATCATTCCCGCCCCCTTTGAGAATGTCCTTGTCCTCAAGGACTCATCCTTCAACATCCAAACTTCGGGGACTCCTTCATTGATCACGCACGCATCCCACTCACGGTCCTCGTCGACCAAGACTTTACTCTTGGCATCGATTAACGGTTGGGACGTCGCCTCCTCTTCGACAATTAGGATTTCGAACGTAACCTCTTCATGGTCCTCCTCATTCTCGACTCCATTGGCCTCGCTCATAACCTCTTTGTTTAACGAGTACGGTTTCTCAGACTCGACCGATTCAACCATAATTTCCACCTCATACTTATCGTACTCGACCAATTCGACCTCCGTCTCACTCTTGGACTCGCCTTAGGCTTTGTCTCTTACTCACGATTCCTCTTGCTTGATCTCAGCTTGCTCGTGCTCTCTCCTCGACCGATCGTACCCGTAAGGTGGTGGTCGCGCTTCATGCGGTTGTGGTCGATCATCGTTCGCAGTTGGTCGATGCGCAATCCTTAAGCACTCGTCGAGCCGTGGGCGGTCATGAATGTTTGATGCCTGAGGCCGCTGCTCGACATCTTCCTCTTGTTTGTACTCGGTGTAATGTCGATCGTACTCCCCGGGTCGTTCGCTCCCGTGTGGCCGCTGTGATGGCCGCACCTGCCGGTGTTGGAAGTTGCGTGCCATCTTGTCGAACCTCCGGTTCATGTTCTCTATTAAATCCCGCACCGATGTCGTGGTGGTGTCGAACCCTTCGCCTAGGTTTTGGACTCGCACGCCCAAGTTCTCGAGTTTGTTCTTCATCTTCTTGTCGGCCATGTCTTTCTTTTCTTGCCTTCGCTCTTTACTTCGAGGACTCATGATGAAGATTATTTTTGTTTTTTTTTTATCAGCTAGCCCCTCTCACGAGCACACAACCTCACGATTTTTTATTTTTATTTTTTTTTTTGATAGGGGGGACGAAAAAAAGAAGAGAAAAAGAAAGGGAATGGGGTAGAAGAAAAACACACGATCAACACCTCTCAATGAAAGCACCAATGATGGGGATCGTGTGTTTCGACTGCCGATAAGCCGCTAACCCGCGCCTTGAATCGCCGATAGTGTTTCTCTAGCCACAACCGCGCCTACTGAAACGATAAAATTGCAGTAGTATTTTGGTGAAAAGACTAAAGCAAAGTTGGAAG